AATGGCATGTTGCCATGGGAAAAGTGCAGGATGGGTATGGCGAAGGGCAGGAAATCCAGTAGGAAAAGCCACAAAGGACCCCGACCTCCGTGGTGGAGAATTAGTCTTCATCTTTTAGGAGGGAGGTGTCAGGGATCAGCAGAGGCTTTGAGGCAGGAGAGTAATGTGATCAGATTTGTGCTCTAGAAGGGTATGTCATAAACAATGTCATCTAGGCTGACTGTAGGAATGGGGCAGCTTTCTGGTTTGGGTGGGTGGCTGGCTGGGAGGGTGTCACTCACAGCACATCACACAGAGCAGCAGAGGGAAGGCAGGTTTGGGTGGGTTTGTCGGTGCAAGGCAAGAGGATGGTGGGAGGTGAGAAGGGGGAAGGCAGTGAGTTTGACTAGCAACATGGTGAGCTTGCAGCTGGAGAGACAGGTCTGCAGCTCAGGAGACAGGCCTGAGGGGAAGCCATGCAAATTCTACTCCCTTTTCAAATCCGTTTAAATATGGTTCCCAAACTAATGCAAGGCTCATATCTACATATTGAGAAAATACCTAAAATAGTCCCCCCCCCCCAGCTTTGAAAGAACTACTCACACCTCACCCGCACATTCACAGCCACCTAAAATAGAATCTACACTGAGTCAGAGCTGAGAGCAGAGAGAAGGACTATATCAGAGTTCCACCCTATGAGCTTTTGTGATTATGTTGGGGGTAGGGGTCAGAAGATGGGAAGATGAGCAAAGGAAATGGTAATGTTTCTCAGATGACTTCTCTGTTCATACTTTCTTCTTTAACTTTCTTTTGCTTCAACTTGTGGCAAAAAGCAGCTAAATTCTGCAGAAACAAATCCCTTCCATTTCTCTTCTTCCCTCTCTGGTAACTTCCCTCACCTGCAGACTAAAATTCAGCTTAAACAGTCCGATGACGTAACTTTCCCGTATTTTATCATGGTCCTCCCTTGCTCAGAAACATGAAATGGCTCCCTATTACCTCTCAGATAAGATTGAACATCTCACTCTGCCACCTAAAGCCATCTTCTCTGGGCCCTCTAGTTGATTTCTGTAATGGGTGAAATGCTGTCCTGCCTTTAAGGCCCATTTCATCCCATGCTTTATATTGATGGAACTCAGATTCCAGGAATTGCTGCCCGACAGATCTTTCTGTAATGGTGGAGATGTTCTCAATCTGTATGGTCCAGTATTGAAAGCCACATGGGGCTCCTGAGCCCTTGAAATGAAGCTGATATGACTGAGGAACTGAGTTATAGCCTGGTTTAATTTATTTTAATTCATTTAACTGTACAACACAGCCACTCCAGGCTAGTGGCTACTGTACTGGACAATGCTTGCTCTTTCTGTCTACTGGAATAAGGGTGGTTTCTGACTTCACCGAGACCCTCATTTCCCACTTACCCCAGAGTGTTCTGTACACACTGAGCAATTGCCTTCCTGCCTTGCCTCCTGGTCTGCTCATGGCCCCCTCTCCAGCCTGCAACCAGGTTCGGACCTCCTTCCCAAAGGGCCAGGAACACACACTCAGTGGGCAATGACTGGCTCACAAGCAAAGCTTATCATGGCTATTGTTTTCATTATGAGAAAAACAGCTCCGTTAATAGCAACAGCTCTGTGTTTACTTTATGTGGGAACAAGTCACACCCACAAAGAACAGAGATTGTTCAAAAAAAAACCAACAAGGAATGTTAGTAAAACCAAGTCAAACTCAAGGATTTCTTCCTGGGTATTCGAATCATCTCCTGACAGCCTGGCTGGTGTGCAATGCTGAGGGCTGAGGTGGAAGACCACCCTGCACGGGGGACACAAACCTCCCCTGCTTGATCACCAGCTCATCTGAGCCCCCAGCTGTCATCTCCCAGTGTCTGAGCCTAATTCTAGCAGTGTGGAGCTTTCTTCTGAGCATCCACACTCTGTGTCATACCCATCACGGTGGCATAAGAGGCACTACAGAAACACTGGTTGGATGTGCAGTGAGTGGCATTATGTATGGAATTAAATAGGGTCTGTCAAAGCCTTGATCACGTGTAGTCAGACAGAGTGGTTGTCTTGCTCTCACGAGGACATCAATGCCCCTGTTGGCCAGGACTGGGAACATAAGAACCTCACACCTACCCCTGCCTTTGCCAGGCCATTCTGCAATGCACAGATGCTTCTAGGGGAAGAGTTTTTGTTGTTGTTGTTGCTGCTGTTGTTTTTGCCATAACAAAGCATGAAAATTTCCCAGAACTAAGCACAAAATAATATCTCAGCAACTGAGGTCTATGCTGAGCAAATTCTCTTCACTCTGCAGTATCTTATTGCTCCTGCTAACTCCCATCCCACTTCTTCAATGCTGTTGGAGACCAGTTTCTCCTATCTCCCATAGTGGTTCTAACAATGTCCGTGGGCTTCTAGGGGTACCCCAAGAGGCCTGAGTCCTCATAGCCACCATGTGGAACCTCCTTTTCCTCCTTTCCTACACTGGTGCCATTGGGGAGTATGACCCCAGAAGCCATATGAAGGCTCCTCATTACACTGTGCTAGGAGGGGAAGAGGCCTGAGTCCTCATAGCCACCATGTGGAACCTCCTTTTCCTCCTTTCCTACACTGGTGTCATTGGGGAGTATGACCCCAGAAGCCATATGAAGGCTCCTCATTACACTGTGCTAGGAGGGGAGCCTAGTCTCTGACCTAGAGATTGCAAGGACTAGTCTCTGACCTAGAGATATGCAGAGCTGTATACAGTCCTTCAAATTCCCTCCTCCCCATTGTATTCCTGTCCAAACCCTCCTGTGGTTCCATTAGATCATTTGCACAGCCTTAGAGTAAATGGTCAGCCCCAGAGTGGCTGTTGTTTGAGTTACAGATAAAAGACCTTGAAAATAGCAGGTAACTGAGGAGCAAGATCTAAGGTGAAGTTCTTAACTGAGGTGCGAAGACACACTGATAAAGCAAAACTTTTGCAAGCACACTGCCAGGTTGTCATCAAAGTATCAAATTACTTTTTACTACAACTGGGTATATGCACTCTTACAATGCTGTCCATCCAATGGGAGGTTGAGCCAAGTATATGTTTTGCTACCTGCTGTACAGCAGAGCCTGGCCTCTCCAGGCCCCTGGTGGGAGGTGAGGAGTGACTGCAAGGGCATGTTACAGGAACACAGAGCCCTTGTGAGGGTCAAGGTAGCCCGGTTAGAGCAGAGTCCTCTTCTGAAGGGTGAGACATGTTGACAGGGTGCTAGTTCTGGATACAACTGGAGTCAGTGGAAGAAAGACGGTCATGCTGTACAAAATTCTAGCATTTGAAAGTATGTTGTGAACATAAATAAAGGTTGAGAACCACAGATCCAGAAGGAGATAGAAAAAAAGAAATCAAAAGAAATGGGGAAAAGTTGGCAATTAAATGCATTAAAGATAGAAATGAAGGAAGATGGGAAGCTTGACAATGGAGTGACATTTTGAAGTGGAGAGGTGGAGGAAGCTCTCAGAGATGATCTCCAACTTTGTAGTAAGAAGTAAAGTCATCTGTTGAGAGTAATAATAGTAACATATGCTTATTTTTGAGCAGGGATCTGTGCTAAGTAGTTTGTATTTGTTAGTTTGTTTAATCTGCATAACAATTTCATACCGTAGGGACTATTAGTATCCTAGTTTAACAAGCAAGGAAACTGAGGCTCAGACATTGCATAATTTATCCCTGCATAAAGAGCCAGGAAAGGAAGAACTAGTTTCTAATCAGGTGAGACTAAAAGGGGTGAGAGTGGAGGTGACGGCTTAGTTTAGCTGTCGTGAGTGTTCTGGGGACTGACAAAAACCGAATAAAGGGATTGTATGATGGAGACTTCCTCCAGCAACACTTGGCAGAAGGAGAGGAATGGAGACCCTGGGTATTATCAAGCATGGGGCAGCAGCACAAGGTCAAGGAGACAAAGTGCTCTAACATGGTTTCAAGGTCGTTGTTGAACTGGCTGGGAAGGAAGGAAGGAAGGAAGGTGAGGCCCAGAAGGAGGTATTGAATGGGGACCAGGGTGATCGATGGGTCACTGTGGAACAGTTGTTCTGGGTGGGAGTTATCATGGAGACAAGACTGGAGGCCCAAGCCTGGACCAAATGACAGGCAGAACTTGTGAGTGAAAACAAAAGCCAGTTGTACCATGCAGTGGGTTAAGGGATCTGGCTTCAGATCCTGCTTCTGAGTTCTGTGGGCAGTGACAACCTGACTGAAATGTAATAGGAAGGGAGCCAGGCAGAACTTGTGAGTGAAAACAAAAGCCAGTTGTACCATGCAGTGGGTTAAGGGATCTGTCTTCAGATCCTGCTTGAGTTCTGTGGGCAGTGACAACCTGACTGAAACATAATAGGAAGGGAGCCCTGGTGAGACTCCTGGTCCGGCATGAAGTGCTGTGGACACTCTCACTGGGCAGCGGACAGAATGGGAGAATTCAGGAGGTGCCAGCTCCCTGCAGGCTGGCTGCGCCGCCGGGGCTGGGGTCTCCTGGTGTCTGTCGCAGCATGAGGTCAGTGCCAGCAGGACAGCCCCTCCTCGGGGCCGGCCGCGGTGGAAGAGTGCCCGGCGGCTTCCGGCGGCCTCTGCAGCTGCGTGGGAACCACCCCGAACCTCAGAGCAGGCATTAACTTCTCCTCCCTCCTGTCAGATGCTGACTCCCACGCAGGAAAAAGGAAGCACCTTTTGTCAGATGCTGCGGCCACTTCCTCTTCAGAAGGCTCCAGCCAATCTTTTACTTTGCAGAATGAGCGGGCCGGCAGCAGCTGCCGGACTCGGGCCACACTGGCTTTCAGCCCGTTTTTGGTCTTGATCCGGCCCTGATCAGGAGCAGGCCCCTGGTTGCCTCTCTGGGTCCCGGGGGATTTTCTCTGCTCGGACCTGGATCCTGGAACTGGACCTGGCTGCAGCCCCACCCCCGTCCCAGCCCCCTCAGGGGCTCCTCTGTCGTCTCTCCACCCACTCTTTGCTCACTGCTCATGTCCCTCAGTCTGCCTGTCTGTTCCTCTCTCTAGCTCGGTCAAGGAGTGTGATGACTGGCGAGCAGATGGCGGCCTTCCACCCGGCGTCCACCCCCAACCCGCTGGAAAGGCCCATCAAGATGGGCTGGCTGAAGAAGCAGAGGTCCATCGTGAAAAACTGGCAGCAGAGGTACTTTGTGCTGAGGGCACAGCACCTCTACTACTACAAGGACGAGGAGGACATGAAGCCACAGGTACCGGCCAGGCTGTCCCCGCTGATCAGGTGCTCCCTCTCCAGGCATGGAGGACACAGCCAGGAGCCCACTTAGATGGCACTAAAGCCCACATGGGCCTTCTCAATGCGACTAGACACATCCATTTGAGAGGAGGTGGCTTTTGCCTTTTCACCATTTTCTAGATACATAAATTGAGTTGCCAAGATGACCAAGTGGTCCTCCACGAAGCTCCAGGATGAGCACCGTGGAGTGTCCTAATGCAGCTCTAAGTCAAGGCTCACAGCATGGTGGGGATGGAGGTGACACTGAGTCAAGGGCTCAGAGAGAGAGGGTTCGGGTCCAGGAAAATTGATTTGGGTGCTGATGGATTTGTTTGTTCAAGAAATACTTCTTGAGCTTTAATTATGTACCAGACATGGTTCTGGGTACTTGAAACAAACCAGTGAGTAAAACAGATAAAAATCCCTGCTATGGGAAGCTTAGAATATGGGGAGAAAGACAGATATTAAGCATAATAAATAAGGAAAACATGTAGTTTATTAGAAAAAGATTAGTTCTATGAAGAAAAATTAGTTCTATGAGGATCAAGAGTCTGGGAAAGATGCTGCAATTTTAAATAGGTGGTCAGGGGACTTCATGAAGAGGGTGACATTTCAGCAAAGACCAAGGAGGAGAGGAAATTAGCCAGGCAGATCTCTGGGGAAAAGCATTCCAGGCAGAGGGAACAGTCTGTGTAAAAGTCCAAAGAAGCACGGCTGGCCTGTGTGTAGAACGAGCTCCTGCTCATTGTGGCAGGAGCAGAGCTGGGGGATGAGGATCAGAGGGGAAGAGGTCAGAAGAGTGAGGATGCGGGCCAAGGGTCAGGGCACAGATTGCCAAGGGCATTGCAGGCCACTGCAAGGACTTGAGCATTTACACTGAGGGCATCAGGGAAGCATTGCAGGGCTCCAAGCAGAGAGGTGGCATTCTTTGTCTGCATTGTAAAAAGATGTCTCTGGCTACTGTGTTCATAAAGAGACTCAGGGCCAGGGAGGGGACACAAGGGTAATAGAGGTAAGAGGTTATGATGTTAAGAAACTCAGAGGGAGTTGTGGGCTGGAGGAAAATGGTCAGATTCTGGATATACTTTGAAAGTAGAGCAAACAGGATTTTCTAATGGAGTGGATGAGGCTGATTCTAGAGTGGGAGTGGGTTTTGATCCTACGTATTGGGCCTAGGTCTCTTCTCCCTCATCATTGATTCTTCGTGGCCATTGTGGTGTGTGAGAGTGAAAGGGGGCACTATTAACAATTACCCTGAGACCCCAGGGGTAATTGGATGTCCAGGGCAACGAGTATGGCTCATCACCCACCTAGAGCTCATGTCTGTGGACATGGAAGGGTGGGCTTGGTCAGAAGGAATTTATTAGAAAAGACAGAAACCTTCTTATTAGAACCTTCTAGAGACAGAAAAAATCCCAAGGGTGAGGATAAAAAGTGCATAGGTATTGGGGTTGGATATGCAGGTGGATGGGACCATTTCATTCAAAACAACCATTTCAGTTTGGAAGAGGATAGTTCTCTCTAAGGGCGAGCTTGAGAATCCATAACATTTCAGCAGGACTTGGTTAACCAGGCCCTCCACCGAGTGTTCTGAGTATCTGCCACTGCAGAGGATGGGGAATGGCCACAGAGACCCCATGGCAGACTGGGCTTGTGCCCAATGTCATGTGCATGGTAACCAGACTTCCTTCTTTTTATGAACAGCCCAGACTTCACAGAGCCAAGCAATTCCAGGCTAAGACAGTGGTGGCTGGTGCATTAAGACAATGCAGAATCATCTCATCTGCAGAGTAAGGGAGATGCCAGTAACGCATTGGCCATTTCAAACCTCTGGGAAGGGCAGCTGGGTGGTATTTGCCCCTGAGAAGTGTAGAGGCTGAGAGAGGTCGTGCTCTTTTCCTGGCTCCACCACTGTCTGGCCATGTAATTATTTAATTTTTCTGGACCCCTCTTTCTTCTTTTATAAAACAAGACAATAATACTTAGCTGGCATTTGTCACAGGATCAAACAATATGAAGCATGTGTAAAAGTAGTTTTGTAAAAACATAAACTAATGCCAAAGAGTAAAATAAATATTTGAAGGTCCTTGCTTCTCCCCCTTACTTCTGATAAGAGGAAACTCAAAGCCTTCTCAGGATCAAATTAGCCTGGGATAATTAGGTAGAGCTTTTTCTAAAATGACAAAGATAGTTTATTTTTAGTAAATCAATTAATATAATACATCAGATTAATAGTTCAAGTGAGAAAAACCACACGACCCCTCAAGAGATAGCTGAAAAAAGCATTTGATAAAGTCTAACACTTATTTTGGATATAAAAAATTAAAAATAAAACTTTTAGGAAGAAAATGATCATTTCTTACAAAGAATAAGTATATTTTGCTGTATATTGATATGTATATTTTGGTTACAAGAGCTATACATGTACATAGTAGGAAATTTGGGAGATACAGAAAAGCACGAAAAACTATTCACAATTTTATCAGCAAGAAATAACCACCTTAATCCCCATCTCTTCCAGCCTTCCCTGTACATATACATTTAGAAAGTCATCTATTGTGAATGCAAAATTAGAATAATAACAATATTTAATTAAACAATTGACAATATGTCATGAATATTGTCCCCTAACATTATATATCATTCTACAGTATAATTCTTAATGGTGGCAAAATAATCTATTGCATAGACATTCTATAATTTATTTAATTAATGGGGTGATATTTATGTATTATTTTCATGAACAAGAATTAAGTGGACAGCCTTATAGACTTTCCATACAGCCATAATTATTTTATTAAGATAAATAAAAACCTATTTAAAAGAAAATACTGTTATTATACTATCATTTAACATTGTTTTGGGATTCCTAGACATTGAAAATATCTGGAAATGAAATGAAAGTTACAAACACAAACTAAATTATTGGGCAAAAGTAAAGGTACATTTACACATTACATTTCATACCATTCATGATTCTGGATGGGGTTAAAGACTTAAATGTAAAAGTTGAATTCATAAAAATGCTAGAAGGAAATGTAGTTATCTGCATGATTTGGGGGAAGAGGGTGTTTTTAAAGCGTAATATCAAAGACAGCACAAAGAAAAGACTAATTTAATTTCATAAATAAAATGCATCTTAAAAACCAACATAATAAAGTGAAAAGGCAAATAATAAACAGAAAAAAATTTGTACATGTATATATGGTAAACAAATATTCTTAATATTTAAAGTATTCTTTCAAATCAGTTAGAAAAGTTCAAAGAACTCAATAGAAAAATGAACGATGATACAAATGGACAATTTACCAAAGAAATGTAATCACCAATGAATATATATACAAAAGATATTTAAAGTATTCTTTCAAATCAGTTAGAAAAGTTCAAAGAACTCAATAGAAAAATGAACAATGATACAAATGGACAATTTACCAAAGAAATGTAATCACCAATGAATATATATACAAAATTCAATCTCGGTAATTATTAAGGACGTCCAACGTAAACTAATGAGACACCATTATCCACTTATCAACTTGGCAAAGGTTTTCTAGAAATTTTGGTGTGTGAGAACTGAGAAATAGAAATTCTCATGCACAGCTGGTAGAAATGAAAATCCTTTCTGGAGGGTAATATGCCTTTTTCAAAATACAAACCCTGTAGCCTGCATTTTTAATTCTAGGAATTTAATCTAAGTGGATTAATGTAGATAATTAAATTTACCTGTATAGGTGTTTGCCATAGTATTGTGTATAACAGTGATATGAAAACAATGCCCAGTGGCAGGGGCTAACTTACATTAGGGTACGTTTATATATTTATACAACAGAATACAATTCAGACATTGATACTCTAAGGTAATATTTTCTGAAATGGAAAAATGCCTGTAATATTATTGTCTTTTTAAAAAAACAGTTTACAGCAAAAGATGATGTATATACTAATCCTGTTCTTGAAAAAAAAAATCATGAACCTGTATTTATGGAAAAAGTCCTGAAAAGAAATACACAGAGGTGTTAATTGTGGTTATCTCTGAGTACTAGAGTTACACACACAATTTTTAATTCTCCTTTATTTTGTTTATTTTCTAATATTTCTATAATTAAAATATAATATTTTATAAATTAAAAAAAGAACATACACACATCCTATCCCCCCAAAAAACCAAAATAAATGATAATCTTGGAGCAATCTGATAAAAAGAGCCCTCACATATACTGAAGATTTGTGTATAAGCTGGTGTGACTTTTCTAGAAAGCTATTTGGCCAAATTTGCTAAGATCCAAAAAATTATCATACCCTTAGACCCAGTGATTCTGGTTCTAAGAAGCTGTCCAAAAGAAATAAGATATATTCAGTGCTATTTATAATGAAAAACATTGGGCCTAGTATCCAACAAACGAGAATGATTAAATAAATTATGGAACCATATATGATAGACTTTTCTGTATGTGATTTGGGGAAAACTTGTGGCTCTATAGAGATGGTTGTGATGTAGGGATGTTTGAAAACAGACTTTTGAGGTCATAATAATGGCCAGATGCTCCACCCAAATGGCTATCGTTTGGCTAAAAATGCCCATCATATGTTCTGACTTTTTTTGGGGGGGGGGGGGGATTCTCCAAAAGGTCCTGTCCAGCTCTAATGCTCTGTAAATCTATAAACTAGATTTATACAACCCATTCCAAAAGGTTCTTTGTCACGGAAGTTATTTAAAACAGAATCTCAACAGATTGCCCTCAAGTCTCTACTACAATGATGGTTTTAGACAATTCTAGCCTAGGAGGGTAGACCCATTGTCCCATTGTCTCTTGTCCCTGTTCTCTGAAAATTTATCACAGGTGGTTTTTTGTCAGTGGTGTGCTGGGCAATGTTTAACAACCAGCTCACTGGTGGAAGAGTTGACTTGCTTACAGCACTTGCCAATTTCTGTGGTGTAAATTCTTCCATCATGACTGATTCAAGCTACCAATATGATGTCACTGAACTCAGGGTTGAGAAGAGATATGCAATAGCACAACGCTATATGGAATTTTCAATGCACAGATAGAGTAAATGAGAATAACTACAACAGCAGAAATAATACTAAAATATGCTAAATACTTTGGAAGGGATAAATTTTGAGAATCATTATTTTTTTTTTACTACAAAATGTTTCACTGTAAGTTTATATAATTTAACTTTTAGTAATGGCTGTGTTTGACAACTGTATCAGAGTTCCTGAAAATGTGGCAGTGAGTTCTTGTGGGCCTGTCTAAGCTGGCTGTAGCACGCCACTGCCACAGCTCTCTCCCCTGCTCCACTGCTGTAGGACTTGTGGCCTCCAGCATAAATATCCCCAGCTTTATACAGAGTTCACCCTAGACAACTTGCAAAGTAGGTGAAAATGGTAGTGGGCAACTTGGGCCCTTCCCTTTCTGGGACAATCCCTCTTTCCCCATCAGTGTTCCCACTTTCACCCCCTCTGGTGTCTCTTCCTCTCACCCACCTTCCTCTATCCATTTATGATGTTCAAGGCTCTCACACCTGGTGTGAGGAACGGGTCTGCAAATTTTATGCCTTAGTGCAAATAAGTCTAACTCTGATTCTTACTTCTTCCAGCAAGTGGGACTTGTATGTAAAACCTTATTTGTAATTCTGGAATCACACTGACCGAGGTTTGAATCATAGCTTTCCTGTTGACAAGCTTTCTGATTTGGGGTCTGCTAGTTAACCTCCCTGGGACTTAATTTCATTATCTCTCCAACAGGGAAAGTAACAGTTCTTCCCTCATAGAACTCTTATGAAGACTAGATGTGCTAATAATGTATTCAGGGCAATTAGCATAGGGTCTAGCACCTAGTAACTGGTGTATAAAATAAATGGTGTAGGGGCCGGCTTATTCAGGGCAATTAGCATAGGGTCTAGCACCTAGTAACTGGTGTATAAAATAAATGGTGTATATATATTTTCAGTGTTCCCGCTCACTGGCTGAGCGAGGTGTGGGAGCAGCACCGAGGGTTGCAATCCCGTTGCCAGTCTCTGGTCCGGTGCGGGGGCAACACTGAGGGTTGGGATCCATTGCCAGACACGGAAAAAGACAAAATAAATAAATAAATAAATGGTGTATATATATTTTCAGTGTTCCCGCTCACTGGCTGAGCG